TGAGCTGGTTGGAGCTGAGGCAGGCGGACTGCCCTCGGGAGCTCGGCTCCAGGGCGTGCTGGGCGGGGCGTGGGTTCCCTGTGAAGGCAGGTGTGCACTGTGCCGCTGCTGCTCTAGGTAGCCTGGGAGAGCCTGCAGAGCAGGGGACCAATCGAGGGGGTGCCCTTGGCCCAGACTTAGATTATCGAGGCCCGACGGGGGCAGGGACGGGCATATCTGTGCTGCTGCCCCTCTGTTCTTGTCTCCTGAGATGACAGGGGCGTTCTTGTCTCCCGAGCCACCAAACCCACTGGCTTTGTCTGCAGGGGAAGCTGCCCGCACGGATCACTGTGCCCCTCTCCGTGATCAGCCAGCCGGTGAAGGGCAAGAGTGTGGTCACAGCCCCCATCATCAAAGGCAACCTCGGAGCCAAGTGAGTGATGCCGGGAGGCAGGGCGGGCGGGGTGGGTGCCTGCTTGTCCTTGTCTGGCAGCTGCTCCAGGGCCCTTCGGAAAGCCACCTTCGCTGTGCTCTTTGACAGTGCTCACTGAGTGCCTCCTGGCGTCCTGAGTGCAGTGATCAGAGCAGCCGGGTCCGCAGGTCTCCACACGTCCTCCTCGTGGGGCAGGGAGAGGGTAGCAGAGTGATAGAGCGCCCTGGTGTGGACATGTGCAGGCTCGGGCAGTGGGCGGGGAGCAGTCCTCTGGCCTACGCCAGCTCAGGGCGGAGCTTGCTGGGCCCGTAAGTGGGACAAGGAAAAGGAGCGCAATTCGAGGATCCGGACGCTCAGTGCGGCTCAGGTGCTGAGGCAGTTGGGAGCGAGCATCCTGCTTGGGGCACATGGTGACCTTGGCCTGTCCAGGACTCCTGCTGCCCAGGGGTCAGGCCTGTGGCTGTTTCGCCCACTTGTTTAAAGGCAGGGCCTGGCCGCGTCATGCTCCTGCCTCTGCCTCGTGGCTGGGACCGCAGGTGCACACCACACCTGGCCCTTTGAGGTGGGTCTCACTGCATTTGCCAGGTGGTCCCAGCCTGAGGAGCATCTCATCTGGAAAGCATGCATCCCAGAGGCCACTCCACTGCTGTCCACAAGGCTGGGCCCAGAGGCCACTTAATCCCGGACAGTGGGGCTCCTGGGCTGGCTGCTGCCCTTGCCCTGGGGGCAGTGCAGCCGCTGGCTTCCTCCTGGGCACCAGACTCCTGTCCTTGCACGGTGACCTGCGGTTGGGCCAGAGGCTGTGCCCAAGGCCTCCTCACAGCCATCCTGCTTCCTTCCACAGCCTCGGCGGGCTGGGCCGCAACATCATCCTCACCACGATGCCTGCGGGCACCAAGCTCATCGCGGGCAACAAGCCGGTCAGTTTCCTTACGGCGCAGCAGCTACAGCAGCTGCAGCAGCAGGGCCAGGCCACGCAGGTAAGAGTGTGGACCCACTGCGGCTCCTCTACTGTACTGGGCCCGTGAGCACACCTGCCCTGATTATGCTGCCTCTGCCCGCAGGTGCGCATCCAGACTGTCCCCGCGTCCCATCTCCAACAGGGCAGTGCCTCTGGCCCCTCCAAGGCTGTCTCTACCGTTGTGGTGACCACAGCTCCATCTCCGAAGCAGGCCCCTGAGCAGCAGTGATGAGAGAGCTTCTGAGGAAGACGGAGTGGTCAGTCTCCCCTGCCTGGCAGGAGGGAGCCAGGGGGCTGCACCAGGCCTCCACCATCTGTCCGAGGCAGGCTGGCGGGGCACCGAGGATGGTTCACTCAGGGTCCTGCAGCCTGCCCAGCAGCTGCCCAGTGAGGCTCTGCAGGATGGTGGGAGCAGCTGTCAGGCCAGCCGAGTGGAGTGCTCTCCTGAGGGGCACTCAGGAGCCGTGCTGGTCACAGCGTGTGCAGATGGCAGGTGACCGGCCCTTCTGGTCTCTGAGTGGCCTGGATGTGAGCTTTGTGTTGGTAACAGGCCGTGTAACTTATTTTTTTAAAGAACCTTGTGTACATCTTTATCAAACAGAAACCTGGACTTTTGTCCCCAAACTGATTTCTTATTCTTTTGACCAGATTGGGGGAGTTGCAAAAGCCCTTGTGTGTGGTGGCTGACTCGGTGACCCCGGCAGTGGGGGTGCTGCTGGTGGGAGAAGCCCAGGGAGGAAGTGCGGGGCCCTGAACTGGGGTCAGTTTGGGCCTCTCTCTCACACATGAACTGTGGGGACTGACTTCTGGCAGTCCTCTTGGGCAAGCCTGTTCACTTGTGAGCGCAGACCCGGAGGCAGTGGGAGCTGGGGCAGGGGTGCTGCCTCTGCAGCACACGCTGCATCTCCGCCCAGGCAGGAGTCATGAAGCCAGCTCTGGGGTGGTTACCTGCTTTTGTAAATAAAGTTTTATTGGAACACTGTCCACCCCCACTCACTCGTGCTGTGGCTGTTGCGGTGTTAGGAGGCAGAACTGAGCAGTGGTTGTAGAGATGGCCCTCGAGCCCAGACTGTTTCTTTTGTTTTTAATCTTTTTATTTTATTTTATTTTTTTTGCCTTAGGACACCTGTGCTTGCTGGAGTGGGGCGGGGAAAGGCAGACACAGTAAGAAGGAAAGCGAGAGATCGCCCCCCAGGGGCATAGCCACACCGCAGTCGCTTCTCCACTCCCCTCGGGGTTTTGGGCGCACATGCGTGTGCGCCTGGCATGGATTTTAAGCTGCCAGGTGTGGGGCTTGGACCACGGTCACCTACGTGGGAGTCCAGCAGCGTAACCATTACGCCATCTGCCGGTCCCCAGGCAGCAGTTTGTAGATGAGAAAAGGCAGAACTTTGAGTGATCTTGCAGTTATTTGCTGCTGAAGAACAAACTCCTTAGAGGCCAGCCCTGTGACCTAGTGGGGAAGGGAGCCCGGTCTCCCGTGGCTGACAGTAGCAATCCTGGTGGCTTGAAAATGTGCTAGACACCTGCAAGCATGCCCCGGATCCCAGTAGGGTGGAGAAGGAGGAGAGTAGGTGTGGCCACGCCCCATGGGGGACCTTCTCCTCCATCTTTGCCTCTGGCAAGCACACATACTCTCTGGCCGCTAAAGAAAATGGGAGGGGAACCAGCAGTTAGCGTAATGGCTATGTCGCTAGACTCCCACGTAGTCGACCGTGGTTCGTGTCCCGGACCCGGTGGCTTAAAACTCACGCCGGGCGCGTGTGCGTGCGTGCCCAAGATCCCGAGAGGCGAATGGAGGAGAGGGGATTGCGGCGTGACCATCCCCCCTGGGGGGTGATTTCTCACTTTCTGTCTCTATGTCTCTCTCTCTCTGTCTGGCGAGCGCACGCGCCCTACAGTGAAAATCTCTCCAAAAAAAAAATAGTCAAGAAAATGGGAGGATGGGACCAGCAGTTGGTGTAATGGCTATGTCACTGGACTCCCACGAAGTCGGCTACGGTTTGAGTCCTGGACCTGGCGGCTTGGACTCACGCTGGGTTCAAGTGCATGTGCGCCCAAGATCCCGAGAGGACAATGGAGGAGAGGGGATTGCCGTGTGACCATCCACCCTGGGGCAGGGGGTGTTATCTCGCTTTCTGTCTGTCTGTCTGTCTCTCTCTCTCTGGTGAATGCACATGCCCTATAGCAAAAACCTCTCAAAAAAAAAAAAAAAGCCAGCAGGTGGCATTGTAGTCAGGGTAATGGACTTCCATGAGACCAGTTGCGTTTCAGGTCTTGGTCCTGGCGGCTTGCTTTCTCACTTTCTCTCTCTGTCTCTCTCTGGTGAGCACACGTGAATTAAAAAATAGTAATTCCACATGGCTACCTGTGTGGTTCGAGTCCCGTACTTGGTGGCTTGAAAAACACCTGGGTACATGTGCTTGCATGCCCAAAATCCTGAGAGGAGACTTTAGGAGAAGGAATTGTGGTCTGGTCATCCCCCGGGTCTCATCTGTTACTTCCCATCTCTCTGTCTCTCTCCAGCACGTGCCTCCTCCACGGCAAACTAAAAACAAAGCCCTCTGCATTTACTTACATGATTTCCAGCAGCAGCCCTGGCATCCGACCTCCGCCCCACCGACCCTACCTTCACTGACCAGCGCCCTGGCTGCGCTCTCCTCTGTGCACCTCCTGGAAGTGGCAGGTGACACGGGAGGTTGTGGCTGTCAGCGTGGGGTCAGCCCCTGGTAAGCAGCCATGTCGAATTGGCACTGTGGCATCACTCCAGGTGACAGCACGTGTCTACCAGGCGTGCTGCTGTGTGCGACCTCAGAGTGTGCAGAGGGCACCATGATGGCGTGTGAGGGCCGGTTCTGGGAAGCTCCTGGTGGCAGTCATTGAGTCTCAGGCGCTGGTTGACGAGGTGACGAAGGATCCAGATGGGCAGGTGCCATGGTGGTCAGTTTGTGCTGTGAAATCATGCCCGAGAAGGGTGAAGCTAGAGGTGGCCGCTCCCAGAACAGGTCCTAAACCATGCTGTGTATGGGGCACCAGGGTAAATCCCAGTACTTCATACGTAGCCTTCAAGTATCCTGCCCTGCCTTTTTGTAATCTCAGTGTAGATATTTTCCACAAAAGGAAGACAGCAGGTTTCTGCTTCCTCCTCCAGTCCTTGAGAAAGGGCCCATTTTGTACCAGTTACCAGGAGGGGCCTTTGGGGCTTATGGAATGAATGCATCTTTGGGTCGCTCATCGGCAAAGCAAGGTGCTCCTGAAAGGAGGCCCCAGCTTTCTCTGATCTGTTTTTAGTAGCGCGCTCTTTTTGTTCTTTTTTTTTTGGAGAGTTTTTTTTTTTTTTTTTTTTTTTGGCTACAGGGCGCATGCGCTCGCCAGACAGAGACAGACAAAGCGAGAAATCACCCCCCAGGGGTGATGGCCATGCCGCAGTCCCTTCTCCTCCATTCTCTCGGGATCTTGGGCATACACGCATACGCATCCGGTGTGAGTTTCAAGCCACTGGGTCTGGGACTCGAACCGTGGTTGACTACGTGGGAGTCCAGAGACATAGCCATTACAGTAACTGCTGGTCCCTTTAGTAGCTCGTTCTTAATCCCTAAGCTGTGACTCCAGCCCTAGAAAGTGGGCCAACAGTGGGAGGTCACCTGTGAGCAGCAACTTCCCTGGAGCACCCAGTGCTTCATAGTGGTGAGGTCGGCCGGGTTTGCAGGAGCAGAGTGGTGGAGGGACGATGCTGGGCTTTGAGTCATGCTCAGACTGGCTCTGCCACTTGGCAGCTGCGCCCGCACGCTGGACGGCTTTGCTGGGGTCCTTCTTAAGTTACAGGTTACGAGAACCGAGTGGGAGAGAGTGGCCCAGAGTCCAGGACGTGCTGGGAGAAAGGCGCTACTCGGGCTCTAGGAACCTTTGGTTTGGCCTCACCCGCTAAGCAGGCTACAGAGTTGACCTTCCGCTCCCCTGCCCGTCAGCGCCTGCTGCCTGCGTGCCCAGCGCTGCCCGAGCTGCTGGGCTGTCGGTGGCTCCCCTTCTTGCCCTGCCCCCAGCCCTCGTCCAGGTGTAAGCCTGTACTCTCGCAGCCTCCCTCCCCGGCCTGCTGACTCCTTGCTGGCCCCCCTCCCTGGTGTGTAAGGCCATTTCAGCCTGGCACGACGCGGATGTTTCCTATTTATTGGAGGAAGTTTAAGGTAAAGGCTTATCTCAATCTGAGACGAGACTGTCCAGACGCCGTGGTGCTGGGGACCACTGTCCTGTGCGGCCTTCCCGGCCTTCGCTCTCAGCCACGTTGAAACCCGAGGCCTTGTGCAGCCAGCATTTTCTCGTTTCATGATGAGACCCTCTGCTGTGGTCACTGAGGATTCAAAGGACCCGAGTTCCAGCTCAGCTTCCTGATTTTATTAGGTTGTCACGACAGCTGTGACAAATTTCTCTATGCAAAATGGCCCACAACCCAAAGGAAAAAAGGTAGAACGTTCGGCCTAACTTTGTCACATCAATAGTGGTAGTACTCTGGTACTGATTAGTTGGGGGTGCTTAACAAGTGACGTACAGAATGTATGAAAGCTTGTGATTTATTTTACTTTAAAAAAACGCCCGAGGCCCAGCCAGAGTGGTGCGTGGCTGCACCAGTGCCCTGCAAGGCTGGGAGCCATCTGGCAGCCATGGGTTTGTGTCTCGGTCGGCCTGCATGCGTGCCTGGACTCCTGAGGAGCAGCAGGGCCGTGGGGGGTATCGCAGTGCGGGGTTCCCGCCGAGGCGCGTCTCGCTGGTGGGCGCGCAAATACTCTGTCAGGAAGGCGTGCCAGCCACAGTGGCACCTCTGCAGTGGCCGTCCCCTTGCGTTCTAAGAAAGCACCTGCTGTCTGGAGAGACGGGAGACGTTACCAAAGGCAGGCAGTTCTGGACTCAGTCCTGGATCGACTGTGAGGCTGCCTGTACCAGAACTGTCAGAGCCCGATTCTCTACCCTGAGCGGGCTTGCTGCCTGTAAGTCACTGCACTGTTCTCTAGGAGGGGCATTACACTCGCAGTTCTCTAAAAAATCAGACGCACAGAACACCGAAAGCCAGTTTCCTGGGCACACTGAAGCCGTAGGGCAGGCCAGCGCAG